GTTGATCAGACTCCCCTTAGGTTTAGGCCTCCTAAGGCAGGCCTAAATTCGAACCCGTGTTCTTACAAGTCTGATGAGCAGGGCTCCCAGGTTGGTTCCCAAGCCTTTTTGGGTTCCTTTGTGCTACTGAAAATTGCCTCCTCAGTTCACCAGGAGGGAGGTTCCCTCCCATCAGATCAACATGTCAGGTAGCGCCTGGCAGGTGCGGCTCTCCCAGCAGGCCGGGGACACGTCAGCAACGAGGAGGTGAAAATACCACCATCTAAATCCTGGGAGAGCCCCCAGAAATGTTGTAGGATGGCTCAGACAGAGAGACAGGGCACCAAAGCTTTCAGAAAGCAAGTTTATTAAGCAGACCAGCAGGGACTCAGAGGATCTGTATCCAAAGGCTGATCCCCAAGAGCAAAGGGGGCTCTCTTTATATACCATTTAGAATGGGTTACAGAAATGGGGAGTACAGCTTGTTCCATACATGGTCACATACTATTTCATTGGCCATTTTAACCTATGGGGTGAGGTTACCCTTCTCTGGTCTCACCGTAGGTGACGTTCCTCAGATCTGTTTTTTCCTGTTTCACTGTTACACTCTTCATCTCTCATTATCTCCTTTCCCCCTCCCTGCTTTCCTGCCACAGGTATACAGAGTTGAGCCAGACAAAAATCCTCATAGAGCTTATATTCCATGAGAGGACACAACAAACAGATAATTTCACTAAGTAAAGTTAGAGACAAATGTTTTGAATAAAATAAAACAAGGTAATTTGACAGAATGATGGGGGTAGGGCAGATGAGACTTCTATAGACAAGACGATTAGGGGAAATTTTTGAGCAGAAAACATTTGGGAGCAGACAAAAAGAGGAGAAACCAGTTGCCTGAGATCTGAAACAGCATTACAGCTCATGAGAATAAATGCAGAAGCCATGAACTGGAAACTAGTTTGATGGGTTCAAAGTTCACAAAGATGATCAGTGCAGCTAAAGCAAACTAAAGAGTAGTAAGAGGTAAGGTCAGACATCATTAGGGGCTAGATCCCATAAAACCTCATGGGTCAAAGGAAGGAGTCTGGAGTTCATTCTAACTACAGTGGGAAGCCCACTGAAAGGTATAAGGCAACTTCGGTAAGTGAGTATTTCTATCACTATGCCACTATGGAAGTGTGTTTTCCCAAGGATTAAATCTAGGATGCCTCAAGAATAGCTAAATTAAGATAAACATGCCTTGCTAATGTACAATTGCAAATAATTAAGAGGGAATAAAAATAGTATTCAACAGTAAAAAGGATTTAACTTGCAAGATTAAGAATATATACATTCTATGTTTATAACTACTTTCTTGTTTTGTTCCAAAGTTTAGTCAAAATGCTAAAAATCAGTAAGCGTAAATCTTATAATGCCCATGTAAATGTAAATCAATTCAAAGTAATATTCTCTTTGTACCTTACTGTACAAAAATAAATTCAAAATGGACCAGAGATCTAGAACACAGTGCAGAAAAAATTCTTGTGATTTTAGATAAGGGAAAGATTTTTTGAGAAAATAAAAGTATAAAATATAAAAGACAGATTAGTAAATTGGACTTCATTAAAACTTAGCATTCTACTCTTTGAAAGACAGGTAAAAAAAATTAAAAGATGAGCCATGAACTGGAATCTGCAAAACACATCCTCAGATATAGGATTTGTATTCAAAATTCATGAAATACTGAAGGTTCAATTTTTACTTGGGCAAAAAAAGAGACATAGATGGTGCCATAGTTTGGATATACTTTGGGCGTCACAAAGGGTCCATGTATTGGGAACTTGGTTCTTAAGGTGGCAGTATTGGGAGATGGTGTGGAAACTTTAAGAGGTAGGGCCTAGTGGGAAGTCACTGGGGACCCTGTCCTTGGAAGGGATAAAAGTAGCTTTCTAAGAGGTTGTTATAAAATGAGCAAGTCTGGCCCCACTTAGCTTTCTCTGCTTTCTGGCTTGAGATATGACCTTTTGCTGTGACATTTGCTCCTGCAACTGACATCTACTATCTACCATGAAGCCCTCACTAAAACTGAGGCCATTCAGGGCCCATGCTCTTGAACATCCAGAACTGCAAGCTAAATGAACCTCTTTTTCTTCATAAGTGGACTATGTCAGGTATTTTATTATAATTATTGAGAGCTGACCAATAGAAGATAGCAAATAAAGAAATGCAAAGATTCTCAATCTCATTAACAGGTAGATAAATGCAAATTAAAACCACAAAGAGATAGCACTACATATCTATTAGAAAAGAAAAAAAAGTACTGGCAAGGATCTGGAACAAGTTAGATATTTTGTACACTTCATATCTCATATATTGCATGTGAATGGATAAATGATACTTGGTACATCCATTCACACAGTAATAAAAGTAGCAAACTACTGATACATGTAACCATATGGATGAATTTCCAAAGCATTATGCTAAGTGAAATAGGTCAACAGGGAACTGTGATTTACTTTTATCATCTTCTAAAAAAACACATAACTACAGAGACAGAGAATTGGTCAAAAGTTTCCAGGAACACAGAGGAGAGGAACATATTGAATGCAAGGAGGCATGGGCAGGGTTTAGAGATGATGGTCATATTGTGCAGGTTTCTTGAATTTGGTGGTGGTTATGGGCCTGCATAGGCACATAGGCTTAGTTTTGATGAACTACATATTTGAAAAGGTAAATTTTACTTTGATATAAATTATACATCAGTAAATTTAATTTTAAAAACCTAGAGTACTTAAATCAATGGAGCAGAATAAAATAAAGGATAAAGATGAAATCTTAAAAAAGACAAAACTTTTTACTAAACTGAAAACACAGGCTAGGTATTTAGTTCAGTGGTAGAGTGAGCAGGTGCTTAGCATGCACAAGGGCCTTCATTTGATTTCCAGTCCTAAAAGAAAAAATAAAAACTGAAACAATTAGACTGTAACAGACGCCTGAAGAAAATGGAATAATATCATCAAAGTACTTGCTAAGTGAGGTAGAAGGAAGAAATGAAGGAATGACAGAGAAGGGAAAGATGAGGGGATAAGGAAACTCTGCTAACTTAGAATTTTATAAGCAACTAATTATTCAAGAGTGGTGGTAAAATTCAAAAAATTCAGGGCTGAGAACATAGTTCAGTGTTAGAGCACTTGTCTTATCGTGCATGAGACTCTATGTTCAATTCCCACCACAGTATCAATAAAAAAAAAATCAGGCATTGAAAGACAATGGGAGTTTGTCACCCATAGACTTTTAATATGATAGCTAATAAAACGAGCAAGAAAAGCAAGTCCAGATGGAAACACATAATACTGAAAATAACAGATGTGGAGAAAAATGATGACAAATATAATGATTAATTTTGATTAGACTGAACATTTACCTTCATTTTTGTGGTACTGGGGACCGAATTCAGGGTCTCATCGACCACTTGAGCTATACCCCAGGCCTATGTTTTAATTTTTACTAGCATATTTCAGTTTAGAAAGTGAGGGGTTTCTCTGGGTAGTTCCATATATGTATATAATGTACTCCAACCATATTCACCATCACTATTATTTTTTCTTATCCTCCCCTTCTATCCCTCCTCTTTAACTTTATTACAAAATTTTTATTTGGCTTTCATTATGACCTTTTCATACATACAGATAATGTACTTTGATTGTATTCTTCATTCCCTTACCCTTTGTTTCCCCCTACCATCTCCTGCTAGTTCGCTCTTATAGTCACCCATTTATGTTCATGTCCTTCTCTTTACAAAATCTAGATTCTGCATATGAGAGAAAACATGTGACATTTGTGTTTCTAAGCCTGGCTTTTTTTTTTTTTTGTCACACCAGAGTTTGAACTCAGGGTCTGATGCTTGCTAGGCAAGTGCTCTTACCACTTGAGCCATTCTGTCAGCCCTTTTTTGTGATGGGCTTTTTGAGATGGGGTCTTGTGAACTATTTGCCCAGGGATGACGTCAAACTGCAGTCCTCCTGAACTCTGCCTCCTGAGTAGCTAGGGTTACAAGTGTGAGC